TGTAACATGTATAGTTGATTCTCGAATTTGTTGGAGTTAATTTGCAGCTAATTAAGAAATTGAACTGTGGACCTTTCTGAATTGAACTTACTCAATCTCTTAATCAGGTTGATTTGATTTCTCAAACCACTCATAACAACTATGTTATAATAATTATATATTTATAAATAAATTTATTGAAACTCATTAAATTAATACAATATATTTAATATGCACATCACTTAATAAATAAAATATTGATAATCATAACACATTAATCTTATATATGACGCCAAAGTCAACTATTAAAAGCTTCCATAGCACCAAAAGAAGAGTTTCATAACCCAATATTTAAACAGTCATGGTTTACAATGTTAATAATGGTGAATATTTTTTTAAGATTCCTGATATTAAAATTTTATAAGATAAAAAACTTATATATTTTATAGTAGTTTAAGGTACCTCAACATTTTTACAAAAAAATTTAATTCAGAGAAATTTATGCCGTCTCAGAGAAATTTCTTGTTCGACACAAAGAAATTTCAATTTTTACAAAGAAAATTTCCTGATTTCACAAGAGAAATTTTCACCAAATTTACGGAGGTCGTATTCATAATGGATACCGGTTGTTTAGAATTTTTTTTTTTTAAAAAAAAAAAAAACACGTTAAAGCATTTGGCTACCAAATATTTTGGTAGCCAAATACGTAATCAAATGTTTTGGTGACTAATAATTTAGTAGCAAAACATAACCTAAAAAGTTTTGGCGACCAAATAATTAGTAGCTAAAATAATTGAGAATGAGAGAAAGAAACTATTGGCCACTAAATTTTTAGTCACGGAATGCACCTTTTGCCGACTAAATAATGTTTCGTAGCCAAATGTGTACTTTCAGCGACTAATTTTTTAGTAGCTAAAGGTGACACCTTCCCCGACCACAACAACTTAGTAGCCAAAAGGCCTCATTCGGCGACTAAAGTTTTAGTGGCGGAAACATAACATTTGCCGACTAAACATAATTTAGTAGCGAAATGTAGTCACTTTCGGCGACCAAACAAAGTTTAGTCGCCAATACTATCGCCGACAGGGTATAGGCGACGAGTTTGGCGACAAAATATTTTAGTCGCTAAATGGTTTCGGCGACTAAATATTAGACTTTTGGCGACCAATATTTTGGTAGCCAAAAGTGACATTTCTTGTAGTGTATTGGTCCAAAAACATTCTGTTTGGTTTGAAGTTTTTAAAATTAATTTTTTGAATTTTTATCCATATTTTTATTTAGTGATTTTTTTAACATTTTAATCTATATTTTGGTTTTTACTTTTTATTTCACTTAATTTAGATATCCTTAAAAATACAAAATTTGTACAAAAATATTTAAATAATTTATTGAATACAACAAAATACGAAAATATGTACTAAAAAATCTTCAAAACGATTTTTTTTTTACTTCAGTTTTTTTTAACCACCACCTGCCAACAAATTAAGCGTGTGTTTGAGTTAAGTTAATTTGAGTTAAAGCCATATGACATACAAATATTTTTTTGTAACATGTATAGTTGATTCTCGAATTTGTTGGAGTTAATTTGCAGCTAACTTAAGAATTGAACTGTGACCTTTCAAGAATTGAACTACTCAATCTCTTTAATCAGGTTGATTTGATTTCTCAAACCACTCAATAACAACTATGTTATAATAATTATATATTTATAAATAATATTATTGAAACTCATTAAATTAATACAATAATTTAATAATGCACATCACATAATAAATAAAATATGATAATCATAACATTAATCTTATATATGACGCCAAAGTCAACTATTAAAAGCTTCCATAGCACCAAAAGAAGAGTTTCATACCCAATAGGTTTTAACAACTGGGTATAATAATGGTGAATATTTTTTTAAGATTCCTGATATTAAAATTTTATAAGATAAATAACTTATAATATTTTTATAGTAGTTAAGGTACTTCAACATTTTTACAGAAAAAATTTAATTCAGAGAAATTTCGGTCTCAACACAAAGAATTTCAATTTTCACAAAGAAATTTTTTTGATTTCACAGAGAAATTTCACCAAACTTAGAGAAATTTTAGCTTTGACACAAAGAAATTTCAATTTCACACAAAAAATTTTAAAATTTCTCTGATATGTTTACAGAGAAATTTTATCGAGAAATCTTAACTACTAATAAAAAAAATATATTGAATCTCTTATACTATACAAAGTTAGAGAGGAATGTTTCACTAATTCTCTCTATAATTTAGATGGATATAATTTATTTTTAGAGAAAATTTATACAAAATTAATTACAAGAATAATATAATAGCATTTATGTAATTAAGATGATTTTTTAATTTCAAAATGATAGACTTGTAATAATGTCACATTCTATATAATTTTTTTTTATTATTTATTTTTGCATAGAGCATTACTCAATATATATATATGGTTTTAACTTCTAAGTGAGCAATTCAAATAATAATAATAATAAATAAATAAATTGGCAGTCAACAAAATGAAAAGCTAAATCATTCTGTCCTGCAGGCTAAGCTGTCAGATGACAAATTTTCCATTGATATGCTTTTGTAGACTTTGTCTTCAATAAAATATTTTTTTTTGAGGATTCTCATGTTAAATATTCGATCATTGCTAGCACTAAATTCAATGATTGGGAATATCTAATACCGTTTTTGAGGAATATAAAAACAATTATATTAAAATAAAACAAACAGGAAAATAAAAACATGAAAACATACCTATTTGCCTAAAACAAACAGCATACCATCTTTTGGATCATATGTCAACATGTTAAATGGAATTCATAACCTATTTGCCTAAAGAGGAACCTACGCTATCACTATGTTTGGTTAAGGAATTTAAGAAAAAATTTAGAAAGAAAAATAGAAAAGATAGGTGAAATGAGAATAAAATATATTTATATTTTATTTAGTTTCGCACACCTTTTTTCTTTCTATTTCTAAATCACTCTATAAATCTTCTAACCAAACACAACATTAAAAAAAATAAAGAAATCTAAAGTAAAAGAAAGGAAATAAAGAAAAGGAGATTTGAACCTATCCATAAAAAAAAACTTGTTTCGCATGTCGTACAAATGAAACTCATTTTTAAAAAATTTCTTTTTGTAAAATAACAATAATTAGGATATGAGATAACAATTTGACTATTTTCTTTCCAAAAATAATTTAATTTTTCCTTCTAAGAAAAATTGAAAGTTGAGTTATCATCATGCTCATATCTTACAGTTTTCATCACTCCTACACCATATAAACACTAGAATTTTTATTTTTATTTTTTTTTCATCCTCATTTATGTTAACCAAACTCACTCTTTTTATATCACTGGGACCGCCTGGCAGAGAAGGATCTTCACAAGCGTGACTCAGGTTTGACACTTAGAGGAGCGAAATACTGAGTAATTTTAGTGGTTCTCTATGAAGAACTCGCTCTGTACTCTAATCAAATCCTGGACTTGTGTTCCTTCTTTTGGGTTAGGTTAAATCAGGTTGGCAACCGGTTATTTTGGAGCCTAGGCCCATTCTGTACTCTGATCGAATCTTAGACTCATATCCCTTCTTTTGAATTGAGTTAAATCAGGCTGGCAATTGGTTACTTTGAAGTCTCGGTTCATGGATGCAGTGATAATACCTCAGAAGATTCAAAAAAAGAAAAAAAAAAAACTCACTCTTTTATGGGTCATTTCCCTCACTATACAGCTTGATCATGTAATGCACAATGTTCAAAGAACACCGATACTCACAATGACCTTGTAAATTGCTTTGTGGAACAAAATACATCAACTTAAATTCCATCAGAAACACATATATATAGTGTTTTCCTCATCATAAATGCTATGTAAATTTTTTTGCACTTCAATCCAAGAGAATTTTAATGACTCTGAAAAAACAGAATCACACAAAAACACTCAACACTCAGAAAGCAAATACAGATGGAGAGAGAAAGCATAAGATACCAAGAGTTCTCATTTCGTCAGAGTTCAGACCCCAATATTGCATAATTAGGGACCAGTATGAAGAGTTGATCATGTTTGCATTTACCTATTGCCATACTTTCATCCTTATACATAGCCAAGGACACTTTGTTCCCAAATTTTTCTATTTCTTCGCCTTAAAAATTTTACAATCATTGAATTATGTGAGAATATTAAGATATGATACAAGAATCGTTACGAATAGTCCAAGCGTTACGAGTATTTTGTGACACAAGAACAGAGTAATTTGAGATGAAAATCTCGCTACATAATTCAACAACTACAAATGTTTTGTGATAGAATAGAATAACACATAAATTAGAGACATAAGATCCGGTGCCCATACATAATGCCTCCAAAGTCCTTCCTACCATTGTACAATTGAGATTATATACATAAATCTTTATCATTCCAGCCAAAACGAAAAACAAATACCCACTTTTCCATTTCTAGAGAGAGAGAGATTAGAGAGAACTAGACCTCCATGTTGGCTCAAGAGCTACCATTAGTTTCATCACTACTTAAGTCTCAAAATACTGGGGAAAAAAAAAAAAAAAAAACCCTAAGAAGCTGATCAGAGTTTCCATGGCAGGCTTATTAGACTCTGAGCAAGTAAATACTAAGTTCAGGAGCGCCGTTACTATCTGGGTTCATCATATAAAAAGCCTCAGAATCTCTAGACCCAACAACCCTTTCAAACTTGGCCCTCATATACATAACTTCACCACCGTCGCTGCCACCATCGCCACCAAACTCTTCTCCTCCACCACCATTATTCTCTGGCAAGACACCAGCACCCATTGAAATAGGCTCCACAGCTTTCAACACCTTCCACTCCTTGGGACCGCACTCTCTCCTGGTCGCAAACCCACACTTCTTCCCATTACAGTAAGTTCTCCACCGTGACTCCTCCAGCAGCAGCCGCCTCCTCCTCCTCCTCCCCTTCCCCGTCCTGACTGCCTTTTTCTCTTCCTCCTTGTCCTCTTCCTCATCCTTATCGCACTCCAGTGCAATTCTGACCAATCCGGAAGCCATTTCCCGGACCAACACGCTAATCGGAGTAGCGAGTTGGATCAAGAAGGCAGGCTCCGAGTTGGCATCTTTTTGAAATGCAAAGTGCACGTGCCCGTGCCCATGTCGGTATCCAAAAAGGGTACCGATAACTTTTGGGCCTAAGCCCAATGGCCAGTGTGATTGGTTCTTGCCAAACACAGCGAGAACCGATCGCAGCCTGGAAACTGCCATTCCCTGGAGTTTCCTTCTTTGTGATTCTTTCCTTGGCACCTTATCAGACTCTTCTTTTTCATGCTCAGGCTTCAAGGTTGGAGCTGTTTCTTCTTCTTCTTCATTAGTAACCTTGTTTGTCCAACGGAAGTGGGTTTTGGAGGAGAAGTCCTCAGAGGTCTTTGCCATGCCTGTCTTCATCTTTGAGAGCTAATCAATGGGTAGGCAGTACCTTGAAGATTTGTGGGTGGAGAGAGAGTGATTCTGATATTTTCTTAGGATTGTGGGGTTTCCATTTATTGCTTTGTCCAATAATGTCAGGAAGGAAAATTATTGCATCCTCTCAAAATTACTATATGGTACTCGTGTCTAAAGAGAAATTGCAACATATACTAACGCTGTATTTAGTTAAAGGATTTAAAAAGTAATTCAGAAAGGAAAATAAAAAAGGTACGTAAAATTTGAATAATATATATTTATATTTTATTTAATTTTACATATTTTTTTCCTTTTTAAAGCTTTACTCAAATCTCTCAACCAAATACAGCGTAAAAGTAGGTGAGTCAAATCACAAAAAGGCAAATCATATGTGTGTGGGTCCTACACCCATGTAAGAGGTTTGATAAAAAATAACAATAATTGAGACTCCCATTTTTTAGAGACCTCTACAACTCCCTTTGGATCTCTACCATGGATGGTGTGGGCCCCACACATACATGAGTGGGTCCCATACAAACATTAATAATGGAAATCCAAAAGGGGTTGTAGGGATCTTCAAAAAATGAGGGTCTCAAACATTTTTCGATAAAAAATTTAATAATTTATATAAGATTCCTAACATAACTCTTTGTGTAAAGGTAAATGAATTATCATTTGTCTTCCCACTACTCTTAATAAATATAAGTGAGTCAACTTGTTTTATTCATAATTTTTGTTTTTATTATGTAATTAATTTGAAACACTACCTACATAATCTAACATAATAGTTCAAGACTACTAAATAATTACTCATTAGGTAGATCATATTTTAGTACCATAATTTATTTATCACTTTATGTGTCAACGACATTGGATCCTCTGTCCTAAAATTTCTCTCTCCCTCTATCTCAAAATACAACAATTGAATCGTATTTTGAAATAATCACAACTTGAATTTTTCAATAATCAAATGGTTCTAAGTATTTTGAGACAAAGAGTATGAAGATTTAGGAACAGGAATCCTTGGCCTGTGTCAACACTATCTTGACTTAGCATTCGTTTGAAATTTTTAATTTTTTAGTTTTTTAATTATTTAGATTGGGATTAAAAAGTCTCGTTTGAGATAGATTTTTTGATTTTTTAAACATTTTGTAGAGAAAAAATAAAATGATTATGGTTTGAATATAACATTTTGTTTTATTAACTTTTTAACTTATCTTATTTTTTTATAACTAAAATATCAAAAAAAAAAAAAACTCATGCCAAACATAGCCTAACAAGTTTCAGACCACTCATACTTGTTATCATTATTAATATGAAAAATGACAAATAAAATATGATAAAGATTGTGATTTTCACAAGATTATTGTCATTTGATAGTTTATAGTCCTTTGTTGTAGTGGAAGAGAATCCTGAAAAAGTAAACATAATCTATCAAACCAACCATAGTAGCAGTAAAGAAAAAGAGAGAAGTTTTGAGATGAAGGAAGAAAGAAAAGAATCTGACTTAAGTATCTAGGGAGACAATGTATGTGTTATTTCACTTTCCATGTGACTTAGGGAGCAAAAGCAATTGTCTGACTCTGATGAGATGAGACTCTTTTTTGGGGAACTGAATCCAGACACAGTAGAAGGGGAGGGAAGGTCACAAAAGCAATAGGGAAACACAGAGGCATCCATCCTTATTCACCCCAGACATGCTTCCAACACAAACACACACCATTCTGTAACCATGTCTTTTTTCTGGTAGTGTTTGTTGTTGTTAAAAGTTCTAGGGTTCCAGAAATTCCATGTTCTTATGAATAAAAGAAGATAAATCTTACAACGATAAGATTCTAAGACTGTGTTTGGAATATAAATTTAGGTAAAGATTTGAAAAGAATAATAAAAAAATGTATGAAATATAATTATATTTCATTCATATTTTA